GGACAAACAACGGAGCAACCAATGGAATCGCCCGACCGAACAACTAATCGTGATAAAAGGTTATCCCCTGCTAGCAGAACGTATATTAACACACGCACAGCACTACCCAACGCACAACCACCAACCCACCGCTACGCACTACTACGCTCCACAATAACGCACTGATGATGTCACCTCGATAGCTGGTGAAACGTTTGCAATCAAATTGCCCAGCTCAGCGAACAAGCAAAAGACCACCACCAGATGGTGTGAAAGTCAATGAGGTTTGTGACTTCGAACAGGATATAAGTAGAACCCCAACTGGGGCACGTGGCAAGAAACAGTATATTCGGTTCAAATCCAGAGCAAACCAAAATTCTTCAAACAAATCACTGAATGCCGTTCAGTTAACACACGCACAGCACTACCCAACGCACAACCACCAACCCACCGCTACGCACTACTACGCTCCACAATAACGCACTGATGATGTCACCTCGATAGCTGGTGAAACGTTTGCAATCAAATTGCCCAGCTCAGCGAACAAGCAAAAGACCACCACCAGATGGTGTGAAAGTCAATGAGGTTTGTGACTTCGAACAGGATATAAGTAGAACCCCAACTGGGGCACGTGGCAAGAAACAGTATATTCGGTTCAAATCCAGAGCAAACCAAAATTCTTCAAACAAATCACTGAATGCTGTTCAGCACATATTTTCATATTCATATGCGAAAAAACGGTAAAAAACAGTTTGACTATTTGGACGAAAGCTGAGAAAGCGGCAGCCATTTTTGATTTCTCCTGATGTGACATATCCTCGAACACTCGCTAGAATGTCATTTAATCCCGCTCGAAAACTGCCTATTTCGACTTCTGACGAAAATTATGAGGCTGGGACCAGGAATCTAGCTCTTTAGAGGGAACCAACCGGATACTCGCAGAGTTCAAGGACAAAATGACCTCCACAATCATCGAGATGCCGAAGTCATCCGTCAATCCCCTTGATTTCCGGCGAAATACAGCCAGCCTTCGGTACAACACGACGCCATTGGTCCTGAAAGATACCAGTTAAAACACTGCCAAGATAAACAAGGATGACTGTCAATCTGTTTTAAATCGGGCTGCCATTGGCCTTCCTGAAAAGATCCGACCTGAAAGAACCGATTTTCAGCCAGTGTAGGCTGAAGATTCATTGTAGCACCCTGACCCGATCACCACGGCAAGTTGATCGATAAGTCTGGAGTTACAAGCCGAAAACATCCGTCACCAACGCAATCTTGTCAAATGCAAAGAAGTGTAACAGAAAAGCCCGATTTTCGAATTGTAACTTTTGACTCGGCCTAACCTATTCTGTCGCGCCCTTAGGACTATAGACAAGGTGTACAAATTTCTGATAAATGACAAAGCGCCACTGCGAGTCAGCGTAGTGTGCCTCATAATTTTGCCGTCATTTGCTTCCATATGCCCTTGATAGCCTAACGAAGATATGAAAACTGGAGGGCCTTTTCGTTGGCTGCCTATAGATATGACATCGCTGTCGCCCGTTCTTAGGCAGAAAGCATCCCCTCAAGGGTGCGGAGGTTGAGGTGAGGCAGAAAAATGAGACTTTCAAACCTTCCCCTAGACAACGATCGTCACCTAAAGCAACTAAAGTGCATTGAATTGTTCGGATTAAGCTGCCTGCGGATGTGTCATGAGACAACAATCCACGAGACCAACATTTTCATCGGACTGCCCAAAACCCCCCCATTTCGTTAGTCAACTTTTTACCTATGACCAGTTAAGCCTCCCTTTGTACTATCCACTTGCGATTAAGGCGACCTAGGAGATAATGTCTTAATCATGCCATTCCAATGATATACTTTCAATTCAAGAAGAGGGGTTCGATGCTGTGGAGCGATCTCTTCTCTTGGAAACTGCATTAGTTCTGACATGAAGTCTACACGGATCTCCGGATTCTTACTGATATTTTCCAGGTTGCGCCGCACATGGTGAGAAAAAGCCATACCTCTGTGTCAGAATACAACGCGGAATGTCGTGGAATATCTGAAGCGCGTTGAAGCCCTTGAATATCGCGATATCACGGATAAGAAAACGGGTATTTGGTGAGGCGTCAGGCAATTCACCAGAAGAGTGCATATTACATTACAAACTGCGGTGGCTCGGCCATACGTTATACAGGCCGAGTTACCACTTAACAAGGTCGTTGTCTTCAATATCGAATTCAGACTCACAAACCACGGTATAGGATAAAGACCACAAAAGGCTTTGGTGCACTCGGTGCTGCGCCCTTACCCAGATGGAGCCCTGAAAGCTGAACTCTCTGTAAACCGATGCCAATATTTTCGTGCGACCAGTTGCTATCTAAATTGTCTGAGTAAAAGTTTACGGGAGTAGGCTCCCCAGGCGCTTGTGGCGGCCTAGCGCTGTAACCGATTCCCTCTATGGTTGACGTCGAATGGCCTTATACTAATAAGTTGACATAGCTGCACCACTGTTAACCACCAGTGTTCTCATATTGTCGTTTGAGATTGATGATGGTGTATTACAATGTTACCCTCCTTCACCAGCATAATCCCCTAGCTCTCCTGCACATCATGTACTACTTCTATCTTCTGTGTGAGTATCCGCAATTTTTGAAGTGTGAAACAGCCTCCGAGGAGCATGGAAATAATTTTGTACACACCTATACCCAAAACCTTCGCTCTGAAAATGGAAATGAAATACAGTTGTTCAGCTGTAACACCATAAGTGCCACGCCATCCAAGGTGCTATCAGTTTGCCCAGGCTTGGGAAGACGAGATCCCGGGGTCGGCTTCGAACTTGTGGTCAGTAGTTTCGCACCTCAACGACTAAGCTACCTTGAGCGCGTGGACCGTCCGTTTGAACGTTCAACCGATGAAGAGTAAACAAAGTGTCTTAATTCTTGTTTGAAAAAAATACCGTGTGAAACAAAAAAAAAACAGCAGACTTTGTTTCCGTCAGACAGCACGTAACTCCCATAAAACCCAGGATGTCCAAAGTCTACTTGAGGGCAAGTTAGTTCTGAAAACCACGTTTTCATGTGCCGCTGGAACAGAACTAACCATGCAGATCACTATCCAACCCAACCTTTCCACTGAGGGACAAAAATGCGGTGAAAAGAAAGAATATATAGTGGCATGATTAACATCGACATCATCAGGTAAAGTTGGCTTTCGTTCTGTCGTGGTCGATCTACTGTAAATACGAAGGCACTAGAAAGGGAATGACCAAGGAAACTGTGGTGATTTTGCGCGATCTGGCAATGGTCATCACGTGACCGTTTTACGTGGAAGCTAGGTGCATGTGCTCGCATCTGTCAATAGCAGTATGTCATCAGATGTTCTGTTAGCTGAATTCTCGACCTCCCTCTGATCCATGGAAGGAAAGAAAATCAAAACGAACCAGAAGTGATAAAAAAAGGAGAAAAATATGATTATAACAAAAACGAGATTCTGTGGTGCCAAAGTCCAAAGTATCTGATGAAAGTAATGAACCGACCCCATTTTTCGCCGTTATCCACCGCGCCCGAGAGAGTAAATAGGCCAATTGACTGTGAAGCCCGAATTAATGAGGCATAAGGAGAGAGTAGAGAGCCACCAGGAGGAAACCGATGACGAGGAACAACAATTTGCCAATGCGATCACCAACACCCTCACGAAATTCCTGGGGTAGCAGTTCACAAAATACCACGAAAAAGAAAGTACCACAGGCAAGACCTTGCAGGGTGGCCGTGGTCATAAGAAGTACACCTGACTGTTGCTGCTGCATAAGTCCCAAACCGATCAGGACTCCGATAGGAGAGGAACTGGACAAAATCAGTGTAGCGACGGTCTGGTAACAAAGCGTCCTACGGGTGAGCTTAACACCGTTGTCAGAGTTCACATTAGCCTCTTCATCGCTCACTTCAGACTGACCTTGTGTACCAGGTCTGCCAGTAACCGCCGTCGCCAAGTTCACTCCGATACCCGCAGCAATAATCAATTTGTGCAGTAAAATGGCTGAAAACAGGGCGATTGTATGCTGCACGGTTGACTGAAGCCCAACAGCCAGACCTTCGAACAGCGAGTGCACCGACATCGCGCAAAGCAGCAGTATGACACGAAGTACGGATCCGAACGAGTCAAAAGTTTGTGGGTCAGGAAGATGACTGTGATGTGTGTGCGGCCTGGTACTGACGGCATTGGGGCTGTACCGTGCTGAGGGTCCAGTGTACCTTGAAGAACTAAATCGACGGGGAGTTTCTCCTGATAGGTGGTTGGGAGCAGAAGTCGTACGTGACACGTGGGTGGCATCTCCGTTGAATAAAAATTTCACCGGAGTTGTGGTAGAGTCTCCGGGATTTTGGGGTGATAGTGGAGTATCTAAGGGAGACATGTCTGGCGTGGACGGTCTTTTGTGCAAATGATGACTAATATGCTGTTTAGCGCTCCTTACCGCTAGTACAATTTGTTCAATGCTCAAAACCAGAAAGAACCCGATTAAAGTGATAAATGGCGCGAACGGGAATTCTGAAGTGATGCTCAACTGAGTCTTAGCTTCCTCGATGGCTTCCTCAACGTCAATGTATAACTCCATGAACCCTGTGAGAGAGAAAGATAACAATAAACAGCCGTTTAGGGTAGGGAGTTGTAAATTATGGTCAAATCGGTACGGATAGTTTGAAATGGACGCAAATGGACTTCATGCAGTGGGACTAGATAAGGAGTGTCCGAATGAGTTGTAGGCTCTTCACGGGAGGATGTGGATGAGCATCGGGACTCGGAATTACGGACACCGGCTCACGAATTACATTTGTCAATGCCGTCTTTTGCACATCTCAAGGTCCCTTATTACTCAGTCGTAAAAACTGAGCACTCACATCTGTGAACTGATTGGAGCTGCTTCATGCTTACCAGTTCATCAACGTCAGGAGTATTAGCAGGAGCTGTACAATGGATGCTGTACTTCATACTAATTCGTTTCCTTGTGTCTGGCTTTATTGTAGATGAATGAAATGGCTTGTTCGTTGAGCTGGGCGATGTGATTGCAAACGTCTCACCACCAAACGAGGTGACATCATCAGTGTCTTATTGGGGAGCGTAGTGGTGCCTGGCGCTCCCCTGTAGGTCTTCAGATGATCAATTCGTGAAGAATGAGGTCTTGCTATCCCAACATCGTGAAACGCACACCATACAGCTCACTCAAGAGACTCAGAGGGAAACAAAATAATGAATCAACAGAATTCTTTCTCCTTTGAAAGTAGATCAAGTAAGTCTTAGATTAGTCCATGCATTCGGATGCAAAAAAGCTGACAGCAATAGCGGTCACACACTCAGTCCTAAAAAACCTCAATAACTAGGAAGGCCACACAACCAACGTCTCTTAACAGAACATCATCGTCATTTCCACCTGTTATTTTGGGGAAATTCGACAAATTGCCTCGGAAACTTATCCCAATCCTCCCAGACCCTAAAAGCCGTACAAACCGGTCGCCCAACGAAGCATTATTCAATGAGGTCGAAATGTTTTTAAAACCAAAGAGTCTGGTGTTGCTCAAAAGGCATCTGCTGTGTGCAGCCTCACTCCCTGCGTCCTTGAGCCAAGCTGATCCACTGAAGCTAAGTGGGTCGAGAGCCAAATGTGACAAAATCCCACATGGAACCTAGTGATGGATTTTAGCATATCAAAGCAGCGTACAAAGGTGGCGAGCCATCCAATTTGGCTCCGGTATAAAACCAACACTTAATCGCCGATCGCCTTTCTATTGGTTTGGTTTAAAAAATTCTGTAAACTCGCCCGTCAGACAGATCCGAATACGCAACGAAACAACGGACAAGGTCTGTGCATGACTGAATGTATGTTCTTAGCCTCCTAGCTGATCTAGACGCGTAGGACGCCTGCAGTTTAGGATGGACTTTGATCTCACGTGACTTTGCACAATCTCACATGTTCACTTGATGTCACGCAAACTTATTGTAGCAGGCTGTCAAAACCTAGAGTTGGGTGACCTTGAATCTAGTGACCTATGCAAAGTAAGGACATTTCAATGAGTGGACAGTTTCACTGCCGACAAGATCGAAGTTTGAGAGTGGATGGCTGCATACCAAAGGAAAAATAGCTTGCGCAGATCCACAGGTGAGGGAATGCGAGGTTGACTGGAGTACATTGTATGTCCTAGGAACGATACCAGCAATTATATGGTCAATGTTAGACCATTAGGTAATCTGTTACTGTATTCCAATCTCAAGGAGACCTCCTAAGTGGAAAAACTCCCAACAAAAAGACGATTTTTTTCCATCCTAATACCCCATCGAGGAAACAGACCTCTCGCATCCAAGAAGGAAACACATTTTGGTCCCCAAATGCCTGACTTACTTCCCAAGAGAAGACAAAACAGTAAAGATGTTCCGCGTCACTGATCCAGCTCTTTTAGTTGACTATCAGTCCAAATAGTTCGTGTTATAAGCATAAACACACTAATGAACATTTCTGATAAAATCTGACTTGAATTAATCGATAATTTGGTTTTGAGTTTGCAAATAGCTGGAAAAGTTCACTGTTAAAAGATCGATAGAAGAAAATATAGCTGAGGAAAAGGATGAAGCGAAACACACTAACTCGACTTCCTCCGAGTTCCCAATAAGTATCATTATTTTTGAGGCTGTATAAGAAAACCCCTTTTTTGATTATGACATTTTGTGGTCCTCATATAAGTTGAGCTTGATGAGAACACGTCCAATTTTTATGACTTGGATGACAGGATTGATGAAAATCATTCAGGTTCACCATGCTACACTAATAAGTGTGAAGCATACATACATGGAAGAAGCGAGAAATTCCATCCAACCATCAAGAAAGCTTCCCGGAAACACTCAGATACGAAATGAACATGTATTAACACGATGCGGAAAGCATATGGTATAAGTAAGCATTACCGGCCACCATCACAGGAAGGCGTCGCCACTGAAGAGACACCTTCGAGTCCTTGGATATCTTCTCGAACAGAAAGTAGTGCGCCTAATCAACGATGCACGAATGGGCGACTCATGGGGAAATTCGCACGGTATTACAGTGGGGAGGGGTATTGTGCCGAAACAACAAAATTGACCGGTGACGCCGGCGCTCCATACACTATTCAACTGCTAATTGAACTCAGTGGTGCACTCACTGTTTCATACTCCACAGGCTGTTTGACCGCGTACTTGGCACATCAGAATGTATTATCAGGAGGTTCCTTCTTCTCAGTTCGTTATAGCATTTTTCACCAGCATATTCGTCAAATAAAATGGTAGTGACATCCGTATGTAACCCTAACGCATGGTGCTCACTTTAATAAAACAAGGCACCTGCAAACCTCTAGTCCAACGGCATTCAGCAGAAATTGAAAAACCAGCGTCGCTCGATTATTTTTTCCAATCGATGTGCCAAACTCCTAAAATGGTGCGTCGTTCACACTTGAGCGAATGATAGCTCAAAACATCAGTCAAATTGATGTTTGTCTGTTGATTGATGGGATTATCAGAGCACAGAAATTTATTCGCTATGAACCTGTAATGGTTTTGATTGTACTTCCCGTATCATTAGTGTGCCGAGCCAGACAATACGGTTACGCTGACTTATCGGTCAGGAGTGCTGGTCTGTACAATCTCCGAAACCGCATCAAGAATCGCGGGTCTGTGCGCAAAATTTAACGACGAAGACAAGGCTACTATTACAAGAAAACGGTACGCAGGGAAGTTGTTGGGAAACAAACTCACCGGAAGCCAAAAAAATCCCTGCAGCGAAACAATTACACCGGCTAAACCAACGACGCAACAACAACTTGTGTTCGGCTCTGGAACGCGAGAGTAACCCACGAGATCGACGGCGAGCTGGTACTGTACAGCGTGTATCCGCAGCGGCACACGTTAGACGAGGAGAGATGCGATCTTGAAATCGTCTAGACTGAGACCAGCCACTTCCAGCTGCCACTGGGTGGCCAGTAAGCAAAACTGTATTTTCCAAGTTGGCCGGGTTCGGACTTTGAACACATTCGTCATCAATCGAAGGTTGCCGAAATACGGCTTCATGATTCCACGCGGACGGAGACGAGTCATTATTGTTTCGTAATTCATCGTCAGACGCTGACTGGGAGTGCTTCACAAACAGCACGGACTCGTCACATCCGGTTTCATCTGCATGTGTGTTGTGATTGCTAAATTCTGGCGGTGAGGAATCACATTTTTGTAGATAATCAATCAAGACAATTGGAAGACCACAGGCAATGAGGACTCCGAAAAAGAATGCAAACGCAAGGCCCACTTTGATCTGTCCCAAACGGGGCGAACTGAATTCCTCGATGCTAACGTGTGATTTTGTCACATTAGACTGACTCGAGTTGGAATTAGAATGAATGGAAACAACTCCGACAATGAGCAGTGAGAAAAGGAGAAATGTTTGGTGGCAGACAACCTAAAAAGGAGAACAGAGAAAACTCATCAGCTCAATGACGTGAAAATTAGATCATATTGGGAGCAGAGAAGCCTAGGATGTTGGGAAGTGAGAACCGAAGCGATGCACACGAACAATAGCAACGGCTTGGTCGATGTTAAACGCAGTGAGGGTGATCCCGTTGTCGACCTATAAATCTCATCATCTTATTCGAAGTGCTTAAAAACTATCTAGAAGGACCCTTAGCACTCTATCATTTGGAATGGTATTCCTCATGGTTAGGTTCTTCAATTGAGTCTTCAAATGCTCTGCTTCAAAAACGACACACGATGAAGCTACCGAAAGCGTCCCTTCACCCGATACGGGGTACGACAAAACGGCGTTTTTTTTATTATCAAAGCAGCGCTTCATTTGATGACTATATTTATGCCTTTGGTGGCAGATTAGAGACACCCGTCCAACACAGGATAGAGCGTACTCAGTCTTCAAGATTTGTAGTAGAAACTGAAAGGGCTTAACGAAAGTGAGAACCGAAGCGATGCACACGAACAACAGCAACGGCTTGGTCGATGTTAAACGCAGTGAGGGTGATCCCGTTGTCGACCTATAAATCTCATCATCTTATTCGAAGTGCTTAAAAACTATCTAGAAGGACCCTTAGCACTCTATCATTTGGAATGGTATTCCTCATGGTTAGGTTCTTCAATTGAGTCTTCAAATGCTCTGCTTCAAAAACGACACACGATGAAGCTACCGAAAGCGTCCCTTCACCCGATACGGGGTACGACAAAACGGCGTTTTTTTTATTATCAAAGCAGCGCTTCATTTGATGACTATATTTATGCCTTTGGTGGCAGATTAGAGACACCCGTCCAACACAGGATAGAGCGTACTCAGTCTTCAAGATTTGTAGTAGAAACTGAAAGGGGCTTAACGAATTAAGTCCCGGTAAAAAAAAGTGTTTCCGGTGCAAGAACCTTAGATTATCCCATTGGTCTAGTGCTCACTGAAGCCCTCTCAAAAACTATTCAAAGGATTGTAACAAGATCGCCCAATACTAAAACCTTATGGCATGCATTGGTTGGGAATCCAGAAGTCTTTGGTGAAAGGCACGAAGATAATTCCGTTTGAGTCTCTTTACCTCATGCGCAGCAGATCCCATTTTCTGCGCGTTCCCACCACGCTTCGCATCGACAAACTCAGCTGCTCCATCTCATGTAAAACTGAGGCTGTTACTTATGAAAGAGAAGCACTGTACACCGAAGACACCACCTGTGAAGAATCGTAGGATTGACTACAAATCTCGGTTCCAGAGCGATCAAAAAACACCCAACAAGAACACAAAAGCATTAGTGCTAACAAGCGACTGTAAAATTACGGGCTGAGTCACGGAATTTAAGACGCACTTATGACGTTAGATCAAGGCCGTCTGGTTAGCAAGGCTTCCAGAAAAGGCCTGAGCAATCAGGCATCTTCGATTACTTTGAGCTCAACGTACAACCAATAGCAGGCTTTATGGCCCATAGAATCGGTGGCCTTCCTCAAGCGAGTTTGGCAGAGCTGACAGTTCCCAATAAGTTTAGGATATTCAGGAATCCGACCCTCTTGACATCTCTCAAAGAATCCTCAGCATGGTGATTCGTCTGCAAAGCTGTTAAACCTGTCGGTCTATCGCTGATTTAGAGGCTCTATTCAAGCAAAAACTGAGTTTCCGACGGTATGAGGACTACTACCCTTTTATTACGGATCCAGATAATGTATTCAATTTATCCACTGCACCATCAAATCAAATCCGTCCAGGTTGCGAAGTCCCGGGCAGTTTAGAAATCCTGTTGCATCACCTGATTAGATTAACTAAATACTATCTAACCATCCTTTCAGTATAGGTAATACCGCTTCTGTTCATACTACAGACACACTAAAGGTGGTCATGTGTTTTGTTATGAACTTTGAGTTCAATCCGTCTCAAAAGTACTTGTTTCGCCCAGTATGCCAGAGAACTCACATGACAGAACGTTGCTGGTAAACAGAACTATTTTAAATTTCCATCCTATCAGCCGCAAGAAGGGCCAGAGGGGTACTGGACTGTTGACGAATTTTCAGCAACCTTATGAGAAGTCGTTTCGTTAAGGAATGAAGGACATTACGAAAATCCTGGATGCTATTAGTCCTGTTCGTTTTCAAGGATAGGGCCCACATGACCTTTCCTGTGCTTCGCCGTCTCCAGCGAAGATAGATAGATAGAGCTGGTTTCACTGTATGTTCACTCTTTAGTCTCTTAGGACGGTCTGCCGACTTCGTCAATGCGCAGTTGTTATTGGCATGAATTTTTGTCCAATTTTGCCGTCACTGCATGAAGCTTTAAGGCTGCCACTACAGAGGAGCGGTCGTTGTATGGAATTAAGATGCGGAAAGCTTCCACTGTACTTCGTCCCAGGAATCGACGAAACACAACGATTCAGAGGTGACAACTTTCACACGAGTTTTCATAAGTTTCCCATCCTCGCCCTTGCAGACCTGAGGAATCCCGTGCTTAGCCTCCTTGCGTGGCGGACAACCTGGTTCGAGCTGTTTCGTTCAGCCAATGTTACGAAGGAACACGCAAAAAAAGCGGTCACCTTAGAAAAGTGAATGAAATGGGGAAGGAGCAAGCTTAGTATTTATTAACATTCTGAGGTACCTACATTTCCGAAATCCAAGTGTAAAATCAAAACTAACGGCGCCATATCTTCCAAGCCCTACTCCAGACAGACAACGAAAGGGTCACGAGGACTTTATCCTAGAAGACAAGTTGAGGCATTTCATAACGTGCATTCTCGCTATTAGTAAAACAATTAGATAGTGATCTACCGAATACAAGTCACGGTGCACCAGAGCAAAACACACCGGGTTTCAAGCGACAGAGCGTGTGACCAGCAAACTCAGCTTGTAATCGTCTATAGCCTAACTTATGTCCACCGAATGCGAATTCACATGTCGGGTTGTCGGTGAATGTTCGGTGAATGATCGCACGGAACTGGGGCAACAAAGTATGATCGTTGGGTGTAGTTGATCGTTAAATAAACGAACTAGACGAGCAGCATTCAGCAGACATTCGGAAGCATGCAGAAAAACATCTTTTCTAAACAGTGAATGACCAGGCACCATGTCAATGTGAAATCACATAGAACCAACCGGTTTGTGCATTCGCCAGCTACGGGTGAGAGCCAACAAACGGAACAACAGCTGAGTTCGTCGGGATCAACAACACAGAACGAAAACAACAACGATGGACAAGTGATGGAATATTGACTTCGACTGGAAACCGCTTCCGTTCTAAGTTAGTTCGACAAACAACCGAATCAAGACTTCACTTTACTTCACTCCGGTGTCGTGTGTACAAACTAGTCGGAGAGGAAATACAGTCAGCACCGTAGTCGGTCACTGGTACGCTTGTTGACCTCAGTTATAAACGTTTCAATACCACCGAGCAACAGAACACTTCATTCAACGTGGAACCGAGAATCGAACACATAAATAACATGTAGATATTGTATCCCTATTGGCGACGCTCAGCAATAATGCTACCACTAAGAATGATAATCGTTTAGCTGTAACACTGGGAGCATAGCAGCCATGTCACCCGGTCGCCCAAGCCTGAGAAAAAGCAGCGGAGATACTGAGTTTAGGCTCCAACCACGGACGCTTCGGTCATGCTTTAACCACTGAGCTATGTCCAACTTAACAGTGCACATTTCCAGAATCTTCAAGGTGACCTGAACCTGAAATATTCCAGGTGGTTGGTCAACAGTGGACTTGGATTGTCAGGATATAGCGCCAATACCCTTAAATCAGTCACGTGCTCCCTTGTTGATCAGTTTCTTCTGGAGACGATTCCGCGTGTGGAGGGCCCACACAGTGCTTTCACTTGAGGAGGATAATTTGAAGTTTGAAACATCTCATCACGTAAGTGAAGCCAATTCATCTTAGGAGACATTTACTTCCCTCACTGTGTGCATCTCAAGAATTCCCAGAGTCCAAATCGGTCTTCTGGATTAGTGTGAGAGAACCAAAACGAATTCCATCACCAATTTCAAGCCGACGTATATTATACATATATATATATATATATAT